CAGCCTCAGCCTCAACAGCAGCAGCAGCAGGGCCAACTCTTCAGCGGACTGCCCGCTCCCATTAATGCACCAGTCCTTGGTGCGCGTCTATCAATGCCGCCGGTGTTGACTGTGCCACCGCCGCCGGCACCCCCGCCCAGCTTGTCTTGGAATAGCTCGCTGTTTAAAATAAATCCGGATTATGTAAAGGAAACAAATGCTAAGAAGGGCGACGATGAGGACGACGACGACAACTGTCCGAACTTCTCAATTTACTCACAGGAATCGCAGGCAGTCGCCACAGATCTGTTTGCGCAGCCACAGAAAGCCGCAAAGAACTTGGATCAGGTATGAATTGGATTCGATTGTTTGAAATGTTTGAGAAATGGCCAAAATCTATGCGTCCAATTAGAAAATACTAACATAGAGCAATTAGATCGAAATTCTATATAGATTAGAAATAGTATTCGAATAGCAAGCAAACTCTTGACTATCCTTCCGTATGTATATATTTTGTATTATACGCTTAGCCCATTCAAAATGGGAAATCGTTTACTTGGGACTAGCGCACAGAAAGGAAGCGTGACAGTCCCAAGTAAATATATTCTTAATCAGAACGACAACCTCAACGGATATAGCCATTGCCATCTGTCCGTCCATATTTAATGTCGTAAACAACAAAACTCGGAAAATGTAAACCATATGTGTACACTGTTTTATACCATAAGCAGTATCGCTAACTCATTTTCATTTTCCATTATCAATTTTTTCTATAGTCATATCGGGAATGATTCATAATTTGACTTTGATTTTGAAGCGTGCCTTGTAGAGCGTTACAGCTACAGATCTAATATATTATTAGTAGATTCGTGACAGGAGAGTTTAAAATTTTGAATACGCTACTAGACACTTTTGCTTCTATAAAGATAGTTCATTTGCAAGACTCAATTACAATTACTGCAATCCAATCACAGTCGATACATTCCTAGGTGTGTGTGCGTTTGTAGTTTCTATTTTTGTTTAAAAGAAGTGTAGATTAAATTGGATTATCATCGCAGGTTTCGGGGAAGTGCCTAGTCGAGAGTCTTGATTATAACACTCTTTCTTTTTCTATATTATTCTCACCATTACAAGCCTTGACAATGTATAAATAGACGATTTCTATTCTTCTCGGCTTCGTATAGCAAAATCACTTTGATATGTACTAAATCAAGTTTATATACATATTATACATACATATGTTGGATATGCGGCCTTCCAAAATTTGTATACTCATTTTCTTCCATTGATCAAATGAGTCTGGAGCATTATCGTATTGCTAGCTAATGCAAAAGTTGTTGCAGCCTCAGTTTGCAGTCTGTCTATATGTAGCTCCCATTGAAGCCGTAATAATCATTGCATGCTAACCGTCAT